ATAATGAAATAAACTATTCAAAAACAACTTGTTCAGAAAAGTTTGGATCAGTACCTCACAAAGTAAGTTCTTAGTGAATATTAATTTTCCCGTCCTTTTTCCTTAGCCTCAGTGTTCTCAGAACATGAGCATATGAGGGCAGGGACTTCCTCAGGTGAATACAACTATGTAATGTCTAGCACCGTGTCACAGGTAGAGAGGTGAAGGACAAGTGTCACTACTGTCACTGCTGATCACGTGATTCTGTAACTAATTAGCCTTGTGATCATCAGCCAAAGATTCCTAATCTGGGTTGGATGGGAGGTATGCCCCCAAAAGCTCCAGTGTTACTGCACAAGGCAAAGTTGTTAAATGATTGAGAGTTGCAACTTCACCTGTGGATTGATCCATTTGATGGGTTAGTAGTTTGAATGGATCACTGCGAGGTAACTGTAGAGGTAACTGTAGAGGCATGGGGTGTGCCTTGGGGATTATACATTTTGCCCCTGGGCTCCTCCCTCCTCCTCTCCTTTCTTCTCTCCCCCCACCCCAAATGCCATGAGCTCAGGAGCCTCCTCTGCCACACCTTCCGCCATGACATTCTGTCTCAGCGTGGGCTAAGAGCCATGGAGCTAGCCCGCCACAGACTGAAACTCTGACCCTGTGCAACCAAAACAAATTTTTCTCCTCTAAGTAGTTCTAGTCAAGTATTCCAGTCCCAGCAACGAAAAGGTGACTAACATCATCTGAGCTCAAATTCAGAGGGTCCAAGGATTTGACTGGGAATGAAAGTTACACTCCTGCTTTCTGACACTCAGCATTTACCTCACCTCTGACCGCAAGCAGGAAGCCACAGTTGATCTAGGAGTGCCTGTGACACTGCCACCAACAGAAACTACCGGTACTTTCATATCATATCACGGTGACTGCAGATATCTTGGAATCATATGAGCTCATCACTGATTCAAAATTATAGTAGCTATTATCTGGATCTCACTATTTAATGCATTAATAATAAAAAGCACACATAATATCTAAAAATTTGAAAAGGAACTTGACAACTTTATTTCAATACAATGGGTCTCTCTTTGAATCATCTGTACTTCACTTGATGCATTTAGAAATATCATTCTAAGGGCCTACTGGTTTCACTGCTTTGCCAAAGTGGTGCATGTTCCCCAAAAGGAAAGCACTCCCTGTGTGAAGCAATTCACTGTACCTCTTCTGGTACCAAGTTCCTCTCCTTCAAAGGAAACTGGATGAGTCACTCTAAGAACCCTCCTCCCAGGTCACTGTCACACCCCAGCTAGTGCATGAGAAATATGATGTCCACAGAGAGGAAGAATCGGATGAGCAGCATCAGCACATCTGGATGCATTAACAAAGACCCCCAAGAATTGGGCTTAATCTTCAATCAGTATGTGAGGATCTACTCTACACGAAAATATGCTTTTGGACTAATTGGGGCAAGCACAGCTAAACCATCAAAGGGCTAACACTGAAAGCAAATATTTCCCCAATTTACCTTTTCTCACACTATAGAAAGGGATACTGGAAATCCCAACATGCAATAATGTATTACTTTTGGGGCTGGGGTTGTGGCTCAGTGGTAGAGCACTTGCCTAATATGTGTGAGGTTTTACTGACTTCAATTCACAGCACCGCATATAAATAAATAAGTAAATAAAATAAAGATCCATCAACAACTAATAAAAATTAAAATAAAATAGTGTACTACTTTGCAAAAAATCCATAACCAACATAACCTGTGGCTGTTCTTGACATAATGGTTTGTCTGGAAGCGGACTTCAAATATGCTTCAATAATTCAAAAACCAATTTACATATTTGTCACTAATATCTGCTTAAAATTCATATAGAATTTTATACCTTTATATATGTGAAAGAGAGAAAGAGAGCGGGAGAGGAAGGTAAAAGAAAAAGGAAATAAAAAGGAACCAAGGAGGAAGAGAAAATGTCACCTGGCCCCAGGAAAGTGCACTTGTTCTAAGCACTTAGCACTAAGCACCTCACTGGAGTACCAGAGTACTCTAAGTTCCAAGAATCAAGTCTAAGATACTCTTACTTGATAACACAGCAAACACACATGGGCCACTTAGACCCACTAAATACTAGAGTTTGAGTCAAATGTATTACATTCAAGGACTAAGAAGAACTCCCAGACCCACTGCACTACTGTCCCTATAGAAAAGTCTAGGCCATGTCAGGAAAAGCCAAGCAAGCACCAAAAGAAAACTAGATAGTGAAGACCATTAGCTTCATTGGACATAATCCGAATGCAGACCAAAGCTCTGCCCTCATGCACAGCCCTGCAGACTCCTCTGCCACGCCCAGCTACAGCAGGGGCTAGCTCTCAGTCATGGCCAGGTCTCAAGAGGCCCAGCCTATGATTTCCTTCACCCATGAACCATACCCCCACCAGCAGATGTGACACTGGTCCTGAACACTTTGTGTACTGTTCTTCCCTAGGATACATACCTATGATAAAGTTTAATTTATAAGTTAGGCACAGTAAGAGATCAACAATAACTTACAATAAAACAGAGTAATTACAACAGTATGCGGTCATAAAGTTTAAGTGAATGTGCTCTCTGGAATTTTCCATTTCATATGTTCAGAACTCAGCCGGTAAGAGACACCGTGATTAAGGAGGAGGCTACACACACCTGGCACACCTCCTGGGTGACAAGGATACAAGACCACAACCTTCGGCATCACTGATGAGCATGAGAGGCTAAGCAGCACACTAAGTTATAGCACAATACAGGGACTGTGACGGAGGTTTGGGAAGATCTGGCAAAAAGCAAATTTGAAGGAGGCAGTGAGAGCAGACTGTGGGATGCAGAATCAGGAGAGAACTCTCAGCAGGGGACAAGCATGATGGGAGCAAAGTCCAAAGGAGGGACTCTCATGGCATACTGCTGCACCAGGGGGTAATGAAAGCAGCAGTCAGATAATGTGAAGAGGTGGAACCCCGACTCTGGGAACCTGTAGGCCACGGAAGCCTTCCCAGCAGCCGGGAATCCAACAACAATGCAACTTCAAACAATGGCGTCAACACTTCAGTTAATGAGTTCTAACTGTGGGTTCTTTTCTCAAATTCACACCAGCCAGAATCTATTATGTCTAGTGAAGTAAATGTCCCAAATTACCTCCTGGGGCAATCTGCTTATGCTAGTACCCAGTGCAATCCAAATATTTTTCTTGACTGATGATAAGTAACACCAAACTGACTCCAGAACATGGGGGGTGGGGAGGATTAAGGAATTAAAAAGAAAACATCATACTTGCTCCTGTGACTATGGCAATAAAAACCACATTTTTGGAACATGTTTGCATTAAGTCATAATATTTTTGGAAACAGCTTTTAACCTAGTTAAGCAAAATTAGAATTGATAACATTTGTGTAATTAGTAATCAGCGATTAGGCACTGCTGAATATGATTTCATTCAGCAATTAGTACTCCATAATACTCAAATTAATTGATTTCATTTTTTTCTGGCCCCACCCCTTGATGCTGGAGATGGAACCCAGGGCCCGGGGCATGTTACTCACATCCAATCCTCCAGCTATTTTTGAGCATTTCACTTCCATAATTACAGGCTACTTCTGTACCTGGTGAGGAGTCCCAGTCTCCTATGAAGCCTCAGGACTGAACCATGACCTGGTGATTTGGGGCAAAAGAAATATCCCTACTCCCTTCTGAGCTGTAGCCATGAGAGAGCGCAAAGATTCCAAAAGTAACTTAAAGGCAAAAAAAAAAAAAAAAACACTTTTTGAAAAAGAGGGATAATAATACACACGCAGGCTCACTCTGGATCAATCTAAGGATATAGTAAATATGAGAAGATTAAAAAAAAAAAAAACCTCATTCATGGCCACGGAGACATCTAGAGATGTTAAGTGTCTGTGAAATTGAATTGGCTGTCAAAGCACAGGATAAAACCTTGGGGACTGCTCCCCCATAACCAGGAGGTGAGGGAAAAGAGGGGCACGGAAGAGAGTGGCGTAAGATTCAATTCCCAACAGGACGAATGAATGAACTGGAGGAAGTGATAAATTCTCAGCACACACAACAGTTTCTAGGAGAGGCTCCCTTCCAGGTCCAACTGCCCTGCTAATGGCCCGGCTGATGGCAGCAGCCTCCCACCAGACCTCAACCACCTCGCTCCTAGATGAAAAGTGAAAGCATCGCGGTTTTCCACCTGGGTCAAGCCATCCACTGTTTCGGATCCACGCCAACATCACAGGGGATCCCCGGGCGACCGGCGGCTGTCCCACACCGCGGTCACTAAAGCCACGCGCCAGCACAAGCCCGGTCCCGCAGACCGATGCAAAGTGCTCAGGATACCCTGTGGGGAATCTCGGGGTTCGGAAGTGCATCTCACACCTCTCTCCCCAAGCTCGCGAGGGACCAGCGATCGCAGCCCCAGCCCCGGCCACCCCTTCCCACGCCACACTTCCTGTCCCTCCGTCACCTCCATACCGCAACTTTCAGCTTCCCATTTCGCCTACAACTGATATCAGGACTAGAGTCCTGGGGCGGCTTCCCTCCCCAACTCCTCACTTCGAAAAGGAAAGTGCAGGAGGGAGCCGGAAGGCTCTGGCACCGCGAGCACCCGTCCCCAGCGTCGCTCTGGGCGGGCTACCTACTGCAGGAGCGACTCAGGACGGGACGCAGCGCGGGAGCCGCAGAGCTGCGGGCCCCAGTGGGCCACCCGCGGCTGCCTCGCCTGGACGTTCCTACCCGCAACGTGCTTCAGCTTGGGGACCACCGTCCCGAAGCCTAACTGCATTTTTTGCCACTCGGGTTCCCCAAACCCGGAGCGAGTTCCCCCACTGCGATCCCCTCCCACCCCCAGGCTGCAGCGGCCGGAGCCAGGGCAGCGGGAGCAGGGTCCCGGTCCGCCCGCGCCGGCGCCAGGCGGCCCAACTTTGCGCGAGCTTGGTCCCGCCGCTCCGGGCGAACTTGGCGGCGGCGGGGTGGGGCACGCACTCACCAACCCCGTACTTCTGCCTCTTGGTCGGGATCCAGCGGGCCATGGCGGCGACCTCGCCTGGCGACGGCGGCGGCGGCGGCTACAGCTCCTCCAGCGCCGGCCGCCGCCGCGCGTTCCTGCGCGCCCCGGGCTCTTCCGCCATGTTCGGCAAACTTCGCCCAGACTCCGCGCCGGCTGTCTCCCCGCAGCGCCGCCCCGGCTCGCGCCCGCACCGCGCCACCCGCGGTCACCTGCAGGGCTGGCGGCCGCGCCGCCGTGCGCGCCCCTCCCAGCGCCGCCCCGGCCCCTCCCGCCGGCCGCGCCCTCCGCCCGCCGGGGCCGCCTCCGAGCCCGGAGCCGCCGGCGCCGTCTCTCCCGCCCTCGCCCGGGAGGCCGACTAGCTGCGGCTCCGCCTAGCGCGCTCGCCGAAGCCGCTTCCCACGGCGGACTGGGGTCTAGCTCTTTCCTTTTAGTGGTCTGCCCTTTTCCCCGCCTCCCCACCCGGAGGAAGCCCTGGAGGCTGGATCCCGCGGGGCGGCTTCCCAGCCGCCGGCGTCCGGGGACTGGAGGCGCAGGGCACACCCGGGCAGCGGGCGCGGGGTGCGGGCTGCGCTCCCCTGCGCGCGGGAGTCGCGGAAGGAGAAGGAGCTAGTGAGTTTCTTCTCGCCTCCGGGGCCCCGTCAGCGCCTGCACTCTGCGGCGCTCAGTAAATATTTGTTGAATGAATGAGCAGTGCGCTCCGGAGCTCACCCCAGAACTTCAACAGACACCACAAGAGCCGGAAGCCCGGCTCCAGCGCAGACGCGTTCTGGAGCCACCGGGTGCAGCTTTGAAAGCAGGACTTTTGGCTACTGGTAAATAGGGAACTGGTGCAATGGAGAAGGGCGCTTTAGAAGTATCAAGTCGTTTCCTAGGGGATCCTCTGTGGGGAAATTATGTAAAAAGCCCTAATTTGGAAATCCAGTATTCGAAAACACCGGGACTCCTCCCCAGCTGAAGGAATGCAGATTTTCACGCTCCGGAGAAAAGTCCGCCCAGCACTCCCTTTTCCAACTGGCTAGCGGCCCCGAGAGCACCCCTGAGGAAAAGAGGCCCGGGCACAGCCCAGTGCGTCTTCCTTCACTCCTATTTTATCGGTGACTATCCAAAAGCAAGGACTGCGCATTGGAACCGCCTTAGGCTGCAGGTGGCGCCCTCTCTGGCTCCCTTCCACTGCCCCCTGGAGAGACCTGGAGAATGAGAAGATGGGGTAGTTGTCCTGGCTGTTCCTTTGCTGCCTCGCACTTAGAAGGAAAGTTGGGAACAGAGTGAATAGCCAGTAATTTCACTGTCTGAGAAAATACCTCTTGCAAGAAATTATATTGTCCTTGGAGTCTGTAGAGATTTTCTTGCCTATTTGGAGCATGGAAGGGAGAAAAACATGTAGTAAAGGATATTTACACATGAGCGGAGAATTAGTGCACTTTGGTGATTTTTTTTAATGTGTGTGTGTGTGTGTGTGTGTGTGTTGTCGGCAGGCCTGAAATTTAAAAAATAAAAATCTCATTTTTCCTCCTTGGAAAGTAAGATGTAGGAGTTATTTTTCTATCAACCAAATAAATGCATTATCTGGGGGCTGGGGATGTGGCTCAAGCGGTAGCGTGCTCGCCTGGCATGCGTGCGGCCCGGGTTCGATCCTCAGCACCACATACAAAACAAAGATGTTGTATCCGCCGATAACTAAAAAATAAATATTAAAAAAATTCTCTCTCTCTCTCTCTCCTCTCTCTCTCTTTAAAAAAAATAAATAAATGCATTATCTGTTCACAACATCTAATGATTAACTTAAGAAATGCTTCTGTCACTTTAGACTTGAGAACCAGAAGGAATGCCCCATCTTCCCCAAAATAATTTCTCTGAGTCCATCAATGACATGATGAACTGAATTCCTCAGGTTAGGTAATTTCTTCTTTCTTCTTCCCACAAATATTAGCCAAGTTCCTGCTGGGTGTCGGGCATTGTTACAAGAATGGAAGCCCTGTAATGGGTAAAGTAGAATCTCTGTCTTCACAAGCTTACCCGGGAGAAGGAACCAGTAAGACAAGAACAAATAGACACACACCAAATAAGGCAAGCCTGTAGAGAGAAGCCCAGAGCACAAGGACAGTGCGTATGATAGTGCTGTTTGTGTAGAGAGGCTGCCTGGGCAAGGTGTCTCTGATGAGCCCAGGGACAGGCCTGGAGGAAGTGAGGATGGGGGCCAGGGTTCTGGACAGCAAGACCAGCAAAATGCAAGGGCCATTGAGTATGTTTGTCAGGGTCCAGAGCCAGCAAGGAATCCTGGGTAGTGAGAACTAGGAGGCCAGGGGAGATTTGGTTCAAGAGGCAGGTAATCGGATGAAGGAGGACTTCATATGTTGCTATGTCCCACAAGTACCACGAGAGACTTTCCTAGGGTCTTGAGCCAACTGGGGACATGATTTAACTTGCCTGCTGTGGAGTGTAAAGGGCCATAGCTGGAAGGCCACGTCAGTGGTCAGGATGATGTACACTGAGGGCAGTGTGAGCAGACCGGGGCTTCCCGGGGGAGCTGGCCCCCTCAGAGTGCTCCATCAGCTCATGTTCCTGGAACGTGTGATCAAGAGTCGTGCTTGTATATTTTTCAGATCCCAGCTTCTCACTGGATACACTTGAGGCCCACAGAACCTTGGCAGTGTCCCCCTGAGTGTGAGAGATAGGATCCGTGAAGGAAGGTGCTGTGGTTCAATGTTTGAAAAAATAGAGAATAGAGCTACCCTTTTTATTTTTTCTATTTCCCCTTCTGAGATCTCTATCTTGTTTTCACCCTTTATATCACCTTCCCCAGATACTGCTCCACGTGGACCATTAGGGGCTGAATCCCTTTGCCCTGGACCATAGGACCCACCTGCTGTGGCCTCTAGCCATGAACATATTTTTTAAATTAATACACATCAATGTTAATAATACATTTAGCCAGTGGAACTTGATTTCTACCAAAACAATATCAACTGCCTCACCCCACACTGTAGCTTTTTTTTTTTTTTTTTTCCCAAACTAGAGGTTTGAATTTGGGCACTGGAGATTTCAAGTCTGACAATAATTGCCTTAAGAGACTTGAGGAAAGCGGAAAATTTTAATTACAGCTTTCAGTATGTTTATTCTTTTCCCTCTGAAGACCAAGTCTACCCACTTTGTTATATCAGATGGTTAAATCCCAGTTTGAAAGTCCATTTAAATCATAAAAGCAGAGCTATTCAAAGTCTTTTTATAAAAATGAGGCTTAAAATTAGAGAGTCAGCCAGATGGGTAGGTGGAATGACAGCAGGCTTCCCAGAAGTATCCTTTTCTTTTTCCTCTGATATCTTTTCAGAAGAAGCAATAAGCTTAATCTACAACCAGGACCCTCACATTCCAAAGCCCACACGACTACAAACACACTGTACACACATGAGTACTGGCTCGCTCTGTGCTAAGGGGCCTTGGAGAAAGAAATGAGGATACATGCATTTGGAGGCTGGTTTGACCTGAATATGTGATTATCCCTGACAATTCCTAAGAGAACAAGTAGCAGGGGTGTAAAGGCCTCTGGCCAGAGCTTCGCTTCCCTCCACTGAACCCAGGCTGGGTTTTGCCAAGTCTGGCTGATTGGCGGCTTCTCAGTGAGAACCTATCTAAGTGTTCTGTTAAAAAGTGTCTCCAACCTCCACCCCAGATAAAGGAGCATCATTCTCTGAACCTATACGTGAGGGAATGGTCACTGGAACTACAAAAAAGTAATAACAAAGATAAGTAAATTGTAATTGCTTCTGAGCGGCTCTGCAGGCTTCTGAGAGCAAATGCTTTGGAGCAGCGTGGTTTCTCTGTGACCCAGGAGCAGGCGATGCACTGGGATTTGGGACCCGTGTGCTGGGTGGGCCAGAGGGATGGGTCTTTCCAGCCCCAGAAACACTTTCTCATATACCCTAGATATCCTTGCATTACTCTCCACTCTATACCCCCAAATGATGTGGGTGGAGAGTGCCTTTGGGTCTGTCCTTGGTTCTGCCATGTGACTTTGGGGGTCCAGTTTCTCTGATGGATGAGGAGATGTTGGTCAGTGTTCTAATGCGATTGCTCACCGATCATGGGAACATTTATGCTTGGTGAGCACTTTTACCCTTTTCACAAACTCAGCAAAAACACTTTTAGTTTTGTTTCTAGAATGCTCGTTGTTACAGATGTCTAAATTAGCTGAGATTGCCATGGAGAGAGGTTAATGACATGAACAAAAAGAAGTTATTAATTTGTTGAAAATCAGATCCACAGTCAGGTGACATAGAATCAAAACTACTTGATTATTTAAATTTTTAAAAAACCCTATTATATGTAGATTTTAGATTTTTTTTTTTTTTTTTGGCAAGAAGAATTCAACCCAGAGGTGCTTAACCACTGAGCCACATCCCCAGCTCTTTTGGAGACAGGGTCTCTATAAGTTGTTCAGGGTTTCACTAACTTGCTGTCTTCAAACTGCGGTATTCCTCTTGCCTCAGCCTCCCAAGTTGTAGGACCACATTCAGCTACTCTGCTAGATCTTAGATCTTGAAAGATTCCTATATACATTTAAAATACTTCATCAAACAGTTTGAAACAAGAGATAAGAATAAAAACCGAGAAGCAATAAGGAAAAATTATGGCTTAAGCTTAAGTGAAAATAATTAAACTGTATATGCCGCAATATAATTATAGAAAATCATAATTCACATAGACAATGACCGTAGGAGAACATGAAAAATACTGAAAACTGTATTCAGCCTTCTTCAAAACAAAATAACCAAAAGAAAATCACTTGCTTGCTGAGGTTTCAGGGCTACCAGCAAGAACAGGAAGGTATTTGCCTAACTTGACCTTTATTTGTGACAAGAGTGAAGTTTCATTCAGAGTTCTTTGGTCACAGTGACACAAAGACTAGATAACTAGTTTAGATACCTATCATATTCAGCATATTTTTCTTCCTATCACTTGGTGGTCAGTTAAGAAAACAATCTAGAGTTTTTATTTAATACCAGAACAATCTCATTCTTCAGTGGCCAGCTATAGGGTAACAATAATAACCAATGTGTATGGACCAACTTTGCCCTGACTTATTCACTCCTCATACCACCTAAGGAAATAAAAGTAACTCTTATCATTCCCACCTTACAAATGTGAAAATTGTAGCTTAGAAGATGTTAAGAAATCGCTCACAAAGGTGATTAGTGGCAAAACTAAATGCAAAACCCAGACAACCTGACTCCAGGAG